CAAAAAAAAAAAAAAAAAAAAAAAAAAAAAAAAAAAACAACAAACTGCGAAACACTATATACACTTAAGCAGTTAAGAAAGAGGAGCAGGTCGACATCTAGACTTTGATTATCATGTTCTTCAATTATGAATCAATCAAGACTCTAAAATAAATACACATCTGAAAATACACATCCAAAAAGGAAGCCAAAAGAACGAACTAGAACGAACTAGATTCTGTGGCTTACTGATTGCTCTGCCAGTTGATCAGTTGACAATGAGCTTTACTTTTGCTAAACCCGAACATCTAAAAGAGTCACGAAGAGCTCTTTGGGCGCACTGCCGATCGAGTGTCTAAGCAGAGCCCAGTCTATTTGTATATGCAACTGGGTCTGCTGCCTCGCCACAATACTGGGGAGCTAGCCAGAGTTTTGGCATACTAAGTACGCAAGAAAAAGAACAAATAAGCAAAGTGAAGTATAAAAGAAACGCAAGAGCAGAAGAAAAGAGCAACAGACACATACTACACGAAACTCATAAAAATGCTTTGTGGTTGGCATTTTTTATTGTGCAGCTCGACGAGCTTTTTGCGCTAACCTCGTCATCAGATTTAAGAACCCTAACCAAAACCCCAAGCACAACTCGCTCGCACTCTGTCTTATACTAACCCTCTCTCTCTCTCTCTCTCTCTCTCTCTCTCACTTGCACTGTATGCTTCTCTGTCTCGCCCTCAACAGACACATACGCTGTACTTTAACATTTGTATATATTTTTTTTTTTCAGTTTATTTTTTTATTTTTGGTTTTTTTGTTGTGTAAACTTTACAAAGCATTAACACCTCATGGATGGGAACGACGAGGACGCGCGCTAAGCAGACAAAGTGGAACTGTGATTGTGGCAGGGGGCTGCGGGCTGCGGGCTGTGGGCGTTGCTGTTGGCTGAACAATGGATTGCCTGAGTCTCTGCAAAGAGGGGCACAGAGTGCACAAAGCAAAGCTGAAATCAAGTTAAAAGCTACGAAAAGAACTCGAAAACTCAAATATCGTATGTCACGTGACAGCGCCCAGCGCACACCATACAACAGTTGCAGCCAACGGCCGGCAGGTGGCGCACGTACCCGGCGTAAAAGAAGTAAAGCGCAACAACCACAATTCGCCCATCTACTATGTAAGTTGAGTAAGTTTCAGCACAACTTGCAGCACACACTTAACTTGCGCTCATTTAGATGTCACTTTCAAGTGGACCCACTCCCACTCCCATTCCCCCCCTTTTAGTCCTCCTAGCCAAGCACTCGCCGTTGGCTGGCCCAGCTCAAGCGGCTGTCAAACTTCATTCGATTCAATTAAAACATGCGCGAATCGCCCATCAACTTTTGCCGGCTGTCTGACAAATTTCATAGGCATTGCCTAATTGTTGCAAATTATCAATTCAAATCACGTTAAAAGTCTTCGGCTTCACATTTCACTCCAAAAACAAGTCTTCGACTCGTGCTACGGGGGGAGTTCATGTAGGGGAGGGGTTCTCGAGCCCTGCGGAAGAACAACAAAAAAATTATCATGCAGCACGCTTAAATGGCTTTTCAATTAGATTATGTCATTCAAGGCAATGACAAGCCACGCCCACCCACCGCCACCGCCCCCGCAGCCGTATCAATTTCTGCTAAGGCAAAAAGAAAATAATAATAGCCTACGCTCTCCGCAAAGCGAAAATAAAAACCCAACACAAACAACTTGAGTTCATTAATTTTCTCTGTGAGGCGCAACAATTAACACGAAACCGAACCGAACTGAGCCAAGAGAGGTGTAGGGGGGAAGAGGGTGGTAAGGAGAGCAGGGCAAAGCTGCCAAACGAACGAACGACCGAACGAAAAAAAAAAAAAGAAACAATATTAA